CAAAGGACGATACGTAAACAACTCTAAATTGCAGGCAGTTACTCGACAGTCGAACCAGGTAACACGAAATAAAATAATAATGCGTGAGCAATGCTGAGTTTTGTTCAGTTCACTTTGAAGTCATTGTCTAGGTACGACATCGTCATTCAACTCCAGAAGTTGCTTCCCTGCCTCACAGAAGTTGAAGAGGAAATTTTGGCTGTATAGATCCGTACACGTTTGGATGCGGTGTGATATTTCGTACAACCAGACGCACAGGGTATGTCGTGGGTGGAATACTATTATCCAGTCATTTTTCGTTGATTAATCAAACAATTATTTTGGTACGCGCTGAATGGTTGACCACAACTTTCTAATATCTCTTTGCTGCATTCTCACTCATAACAACCAAAATCTTTAGGTTATTTTGATCATTGGGAATAAGCCACAGGTGTGATAAAATGTGACCGGATAATTGATCAAATCACATTGAATCTCTCTAGGTGTTGTGCTTGATGACGGGGAGAAAACTTTTGCACAAGGTACATCATGCACTGATAGCTCCTTACCTGTACGGGGCCTTATGTATAATACATGACTTTCGCCCACTCAAATCGGATCGATATTTGAGACCAAACACTTCCACAGTGGCTTGCTGTCCGTATCGTAAAGAGAAACTTGTGGGCATATTGCTGATTTCGTATGTTGGAAAAGTGTTTGGGTTATGGACGAGTACGTGAATACCGTCGTTTATATCGTCCGTAAACGTGGGATCCTTTATAAAGGGAAAAAGGAGGTAGTTGTAATCAAGAAATCAGTCAGTCGATCAGTCAGTCAGTCAGCTGCGGTCAGTCAGTTAGTAGAAAATCCCTTCTAATGAATTAGGTTCAAACAAATGGACAATTTTGTAGTATTTGTTGGCGAAATCCCGAAATGCTCTACTCTGATCGTGATTGTGGTTACCCCTCCGGCAACGCCTCCCGAAACGGATTCAAGTTACCTGGTCCCGGGTGTACTGCTACCATTAGTTGAGAAGGTTCGTCCGTCTGAAACAGAGATGACTAATGTTATAGGATGCTAATTGACTTTCGGTATTCGACCACCGATGTCTCCGAAGCATTGCTCGAGTCTGGTGGGAGCACCGGGTGAGCAATGACGAGGTTCGTCGTCGTGTGTTCGGGGCGGATAGTCGTTCTCTAACGGAAGTAATCACTCTACACCGCCTCCGATGGCTTGGTCACGTATTGTGTATGCCTGGCCATCGACTACCTTTCCGTGCTCTCTTCTCACTGGGCGAGGCTGGAAGAAGCGGCGCGGCGGTCAGACCATGACATGGCGTAGAGGCATGAAGAAGCTGGCTTCGGTTGGTGCAGTCTGCCTTTTAGGTTGGGGCCCAAGGGATGAGGATTGTCGTTGGTTGGAGACTCTGAGAGATATAGCCCAGAATAGAAGTCAGTGGCGCGAATGCTGTATGGTCTGCCTTTCGAAATCCCGTGCCCGGTAAAACAACAAACAACACAAAAAATATCAAAAAGTGTACGGTGAAACACACAAAAATTGTTCTTTCCCAGTCATCTTCCAATTTCCCATATTTAACTGTTTCACCCTCTTTCATTCTGTTCTGTACCCCAAATCACCTATCCCCTATTATTGTTATTGTTATTATTATTGTTGCGTTGGCACCATTCTTGTCTATAGACCGGTGGTAAATATATATACCACTTCAGTTCAAGCCCTAACATTGAACTTCACAGTCCAGATTTGGTTGTCAGATAGCTCACGGTTTCAGACCCTCAGTGATAGCCCTGGGGGACAAGTCCTAATTCGCTAAGTAAGTCACCCATAAAACGTCTTCAGGAAATGAAAATGGGTGCAAAAGCCTATTTTAAAATCCTCGCGAGTTCAGTCAATAGAGTCCTGTGTTAAGCCTATCGGAGTCTGTTCAGGTTACTAAACCAAACACACCACTAGGTGGTTTGCTCATAGACCGTTTACAACTGACAACATGATTGTATTTTGTATTCACCAAGTTTTGTTACTCTCTGTTTGTTTCAGCTTTGTGGTCAGATGTATGCCTAACTGAGACCTGGTATCGAGTAAGTTTCGAAAACTCAACGAAAACGTATCAGTTACTAAAACTAGAGCTTCTCATCTGAGTGAGAGCGATGGGGGAAATTTTTCTCGCAAGATTTTTCAATTCTTTTTGTAAAAAAGCTGCATGTCAAGATAGGATTACTCACTTCCAAGTCATTCAGCATGAGAAACGGCTTCGAATTGCCACGCTGTTTATAGAATATCAATTGCAGTCCTTTGCCTCCACTGACCAGACGCGTCCGAGGGGAAAATGTAAAGCACTGGACGTAGCGTAAATGGACCAGTTCGGTGAAATTGTAGAATGAACACTCCTTGTCATCGTAACGACAGTAGAGGATATGTTGATATGCCCGCAAAAGTGTGTCATCTATCAAAATAATTAGAATGTGAATTTATAGATTGTGTGATATACGCGCGGGTTGACTTGATGCTAGAGAGGGGCGATTCGAATAACAAGAAAATACAGGTAAAAAGCTTTTATTTGCTAAGCTCACCGGTACATTTTTGGTTTTTTGCACTTTTGCACTTTTGTGGATCAACTGCACGGTAGAGATTGTAAAACATTAAAAAAGTGATCCACCTCTAATGTATACTGCTGAAGAACGGTCACCCCCTCCGGAGAACAAATTATCTCGGTCCCGATGGAATTCATCACTGAAACTCCCTCAGAGAGAAAAACCCCAGTCAAGAGAACTCATCCTTCGCACTGACAGAATACCCCAATTAGTTCTGTGCTGAAGAAAGCTTGTATGCCCTCCTTTTGTAGCAGGTGTCAAGCGTTGCGCTAGCATATGCATGTATGAACATTAAGAGGCACCCAAGAGTTTCACCGACAGCCACTGTCATCGGCTAGCAGAAGGTTTCAGTGGCTGAACAGGGCTTCCGCTCGCGTCATGGGTGTTGTCGTGCGAGCGCGGTTGTTTGTGGCTGGCAATGATATCTGTGACCATGCATTACGAACATTCAATCTTGTGGAGACCACAGCTACAAGGTATGGTTGATATATGCACTGCACATTTCGTATCTCACTTAAATCCAACTATCCTGACTATTGACAGTAAAGCTAACATCACTCATTGGCACAAGAAGGAAGTTTCACGATGACGATGACATCCCTATTTCGTGTACAGAAACGTGAGATCGAAGTGAGCAAACAAAACCAATTGAGCGGAATAAAATTCAAGTGCAAGGGCATGTTGCAGTGTTCTGAGCCTCAAAAAAATGACAGTAAATATGGATATCATTACTCTTGGTTATTCTTGTGATCACTACCCCCACCCCACGGAACGAACAATACACACCAATGGGTAAAAGCATGCTAAAATTCCAAATATGAAGGAGATCAAAAATCAGACTCATTATCATTTTCATCTGATTCAATCGTGAAAATACCGACAGCTTGGATGGTAGTCTAGCCATGGTGGGTAAATCACCAACGACTTGTGCACCGCAAGCCACACCGTGATCTTTTCATAACTTGTTGCCCACCCGACTTGTGTAGACACCAGACAGCCATATCATATTTGCCCCAGAATCAGACCAGTGGATGAATCCTCCGGCAAAATAAACTAGTTCAGTATTTGACAGACTTTGCTGAAGTTTTCATGCGATCCAACCCAGTTATCGCATCCATTTAATTAAAGAGAACAATAAAATTAGAATGATTTCTTTCTGATTTGACAGTCTAATAAACTGTATACCACATTAATACAAACTATACCTTGCCTGGTAGCCATTTGTATGAGCAAGGCTGATTGAATTGCAGCCGTGGTCACCTTGACTGATGCATCTCTTAATTTATTCAAAACGGTACTTTGGATACGATTAAGTATATTTTCTGCACTCGAATTTTGTCCAAACTGTGTTCTATCCATGTAGAAAGGACTTTTAGCACAAATAGACACATCGGGAAATTCGAAAACATCTTGTTCCGCTTTGATCTGAGTGGCCACGGGCATGGCCAAGTAGGATTGGACGAGGCCAGTAATCATAGAGATTAACACACTCATAACTAGTAAAAAAACACCGATCCAAAACAACGCCAAAAATCCCTTGCGTAAATCCAAATGTTTCAATCCATGCTCTTTGCTCCGCGCATGTTCGAAACAACTATCTGCCATTTTCCTGTGTCGTGCAATATAATATGGAAGTCTGGATGTTTGAACTGGTTCGTTCGACTGGGTGTCTGTATCTTCGCCTGATTCTTGAATCTCCACCACTTCATTTGTCGGAAGAAATTCTTCCGTGTTTCGAGACTCCAATCTCGGAAGAATTCGTAGCTCCATGCTTGAAAAGATCCCCGATATGAGCAGGTCTTGTTTTAGTTTTGATCAAACTACCTCACATGATTGCAATCAATCGATTTTCGTGCATCACGGGATTAAATAAGCCTCTGATTGGCTTGTATCTAAATGGCTCCATCGATGGGCAGATAGGAGAGAAATATCAACGGATTATGAACGATGGACATTTGATGTTTCAGCTTGAAAGAAACACAGGTTCGGTATGTGACTCCGATTAATTAAATGTTTCGTTTCGCTATCAGTCACCTTCCATGAATTCTGTTTGTCTAGATTTAATAAAAGAGCTTAGGATACTTTTTGGCGTAAGTTTAAGCAGCGCAGATTAGAGCTGAGTAGAGTAGAGTAGAGCAGAGCAGAGTAGAGTAGAGTAGAGTAGAGTAGAGTAGAGTAGAGTAGAGTAGAGTAGAGTAGAGTAGAGTAGAGTAGAGTAGAGTAGAGTAGAGTAGAGTAGAGTGATATTGCCCGCTCTATCCTGTTTATCGAATGGCTGTCATCCGTGGCTTCACAGCTAATTTCCTTTCTGTACGATACATTTTCGCAACTCTTTAAATTTGTCATCATTAACTGCAAACGAGACTGTTTCATTATCGGTTAGAAACGTTTTCTTGCTGTTAACGTTGAATACTAGCTTATTGACGGCACCGTGGTGAGCACAGTCGGAGCGCACTAGTCACGCTGAAGAACTGAGGCGTTCAACAATATATTGAATTTTACTTATTCAACTAGGTAAGTGTCGCGTCCCTTCGATCAGTCGATGAAAGAATCTTATGCATCATCATTTCGGTATACCCACTTTTGAACAGTCACCTTTAGACCATGACGAACGCTTTCGCATCAGAATCCGATCTCCCTTCAATGTACACATGACTTGCTGTTGACGGATCAACGTGTCTCCATCACTTCATTGGAAAATATCGCACCAAATATCGGACACGGATATCGGTCCACTCGAGTTCGGGGTCTCTACAGAACCCGGCG